AATATGAGAAGTGGGAGGAGGACATCGCCCGATACTGTCGTCGGCTGTTGGACGTGAGACATGGTCAGTCTGGGCGAGGAAGCGCGGGGTGGAATGGAGATGGGGGATGATGCTGTCGTCGAAGACGGTGCCTGTGAGGATGAGACACTTGGTAAGAGAGACAACTTCTCGGGTGACCCGTGAGCTGCATCCCCATCGGATTGTGGATGGGGTGAGAATAACGCGTCGGGAGAAGCAACGATCGGGATGTCCACAGCTTCGATCGGTCCTGGGGGTGGACTTGCTTTTCGCTGCGGCGGCTCGGGTTCCTCAGGCTGTTTTTCACCGTTGCTGAGTTTAATCGGAGGAAGGCGGGAAAGACCATCTTTGTGTAATTGAAATCATATATTAGGGAACAACACGTATGCATATATACATTTCACTCACCTACTGTGAGCTTGTGCGCTGCGACTAGCACAGCTGCCTTCTCACTGGGTGATCTACAGGCAACGTCTAGCTGAGATAACACTGTGAAAGTATCAATGAATATGAATCATCAGCACGTGTGCATGTGTTAGGAAACTGACTCTCTCCACACGCTCTGACTACGACATCGATCTCAGACCTAGCGCCGCCAACATCAACATCAAGATGCTCGAGCCCCAGATCAAGAAGGTTGAGAGCTGCGATGTGGCTTGATAGTGCCTCGTCATGCGAAGCGTCGTCAGAGTGAGATGGGAGGAATAGTCTAGTAGGAGTCAGCGCTGGAACAGGAAAACTGACTCTTCTATACTGTTCACGTACCGATCATAAAACAAGGTAGATAGAGTCCCCTCCACCACCTCAACGAGTTCCTTAACTCTGGACTCTTGTTCGTCTTCTGATGCCTCGCCTTTCTCTTTCTCGATTTCAATCCGTACTTCTCCCTCTAATTCCAGGTAAAACTCCTGAAATGTCTTAGACAAATCTTCGGGGCGATCTTTCCCTGCATCGAGATTGACGGCCCATGTTCCGTGTTTACTTGGGCTTGCGCCGATATCGTGAAGTTTCTTCTTCCCAGCAGGACCTCTAACGAACGGAAGTAACGGGGATGCAAAGGATTGTACACGCTCAATGATCATTGCTGGGACACCAGCCATTTCAAGACTGGATGTGAGCTCGGATTTGAGCGCAGCAAGAACGTCTCGCATCACATCATATCGATATACCGCACGAGAAATACTGAATGCGCTGATGAGAATGGGGTGATCCTCTGGAGGAGGTATTAATGGCGTCTGTATGGGTGGGAGGGAAGCAGCAATTAATGGAGGTGTGGTCGTGGGCTTGACGCCGAATAGAGAAGCGAAAGGCATGGCGAGGCGCGAAGGTTGGGTAGCGGGTGTGGGTCGTGGAGGTAGGGGTGGCTTTGGTGGACGAACTTGAATTGGGAGGGAGGTACTGTGTGCCGGGACTGTATATGAGGGGTATCCAGAGTCTGGTGGGAGTGAAGGGAGTGGGGGAAGAGATGAGAGAATGATGTCGGGAAACTTTGTTGGCGGGAGTGAGGAGCGAAACGTCAAATTTTCGCTGAGTATACGTGTTAGGTCAGATTGCTAAGTAACGGAAAACATAGAAGAAACCAACCTAGTTAAGTGTCCGCGCAAGCCAGAAAGTGTGACCACTTGAGTATTTTCTTTGGATAAAGGATCGCACATGAGCACATGATCTGACATGAACTCGGGCGTGATCTTCTCCTGTCCTGAGGATTGCTCAAGCGGGAGCAGCAGGGACGCCTACGAAACCGTTTTCCGTGAGCTGAATTGTCACAATCAATGAAAACGTACCTTGCCCTTGGTAATAGCACCCCATATTTCAGCCCACTCTTCGGTCTCCCCGTCTTGGCTTAGTTTCTCTAAAATAGCCCATCCGAGGCATGCAGTATCGAGACCAATGTCCTGTGCTGCAGCCTTGAGGTTCATCAGCTGGAGCTTGCTAGTCGCGCCACCCGTGAGTTGGTGCTGCGGAGAGACTGAAACTGGCGGTTGGGCAGTGGTACTGGTTGTAGGCAACCTCTGTCTTGGCGTGTATGGGGCATACTTTGGTGTCGAGGACGACTGGGTTTCCGGTGTGGGACTGGGGGAAAGGGTAGATGGACCAGAAGAGAGGAGTGGATGCGTGGCGAGATTGTCACGAGAGCCAGTCCTGGCAATAGATGCGCCTTGGACGCGTCCTATCGAGACAGCAGGAAAGTGTCCCTCTCGTCGTGTAGTCATTATGGTGCAACACTGGTTGATGCTGTTGAAGCTTGAGGTCTATCCAGATAGCGCAGTTGTAATTGCTCTCACATGCGAACGTTGCCAACTTGCTATGATAACTTGTCGACGATCTTCAAACAAAGCTCAAGTCTACCGGTCCCTGTGAACGCTGGTCCCGTAACTAGAAATCTGTTGGCGTTAATAGCCTTGTGACAGTTGGAAAGAGTTGTTGTTTGACGCTGACAGACGGACACGCTTCAAGTTCAAGCGTGCTGTTCCCAAAACCCTCGCCGAAAAGAGTAATTCAGCCCCTATGGAACACGTTATATTCGCGCTCTTCACAATTAATACAACCTGAGGATATTCTGCGCACAACAAGATAATTAAAGGCCATGCAATACCTATTTGGAATAATTCTAATACCGTCGCACGAGATATAGCAACTAGCGTTTCAGCGAATGGCGATTCAGACGTCAATGAACCAATACTAATGACATTAACCTGGAATCCTCAGGCTGGTACCACTAGTAGAAGTGCACGTGCATGCTCGTGCATCTCAATCAGCCCTTCTGCAAGTACTTACCATTACAACCACGGTTTCCATAGGTTTGCATGTACGTGCACGATGAAATATGATGATTAGATGATTAGCGGAACTACAGCACAGATCAATGGATCTCCAATGTCCATTTTCTCACAGTAAAACGGATTCGAATTACAACCTTTGCTCACCAGATATCGTGTTTATCATAATCGCTGAGCTAGAGCCGAGGGGATTCACTTGAACTTTTGTCACAGTACTTATGTATATACTGACGTGAACATACTTGCGCGTACATAGTGTGGGATATGATGAAAGTCGGTCCGGACTACGTAGCACTCATAGGAAGTATACGATCTGCCGGAACCCGAGAAACATGAAATACAATTACTTCTTATGGTACTACTGCAAGCAATTGAGCAACGTGATTTTGAAAGACTGAAAGCAATCACTCGTTTGCACAATACAGATGTGAAATGTCGCATGAAATCGAGGGCTTCAGCCTACGGAGATGACCCATGAGCGTGAATGAGATGTTCCTCCATGCGCAAGTCAGGTCGTAGGTCTAAATATTCTTGGAAAGATGCACCATTGCAAGTTTCTGGCTTTCGAATAAAATAATGAGGCAAGACGGCAAATCCTTCAAACACCACTGCTTTCGAGCCAAAACAGATGATGATGATTCTAGAAAGACTCGGATATATGACCAAGCCGATCCGGGATGTCCTGTATCATCAAATGGAGAGAGGAAACTACGAGTAGGAAGTGCTGTGAAGCGACGTACTGTACTTCATGGAGGGTGAAGGTTACGCGGTGCGAAACATAGTCGTATTGTTGTCGGTAGCAATTTCTATGACAGATCATAGCCGCACCAGCATTCTCTCGACGTCCCTGCCCTGACTAGCTAAGATCAAGAAGTGTCGATATTTACGATGTCGGTAGTAGGTATGCAAGTGCGCAAACTACAGATAAATGCACGTATGCCAGCTAGGGGTCAGCGCACATGGACAGGATACGGTCGTAGAACTTCTATACCTCCATTCCTGGTAGCAGCTCACTCAATAGTGAGAGCATGAGCCAAACTTTACAGAGATCATTGTGCCGACCATCGATGGAACGTCAGCTTACTCGGTTCACCAAATGCTCGAGTTGACCCTTCGTATGCTGTGGGAAAGCGGAACAGTGACTTCGCAGTTTTCTGAAGGAATGCTCCAAGAAATGATAATGTCTTCATGAACATCTGTGCCGTCTAGTGAGATGGTGGCAGAAACCCCCTTCCCAAATATATTCACTAGTATCTCGCACACCAGCCGGCGCATGTCTTCATTCTGCATTGCTTCAAGAATATGGAATTCCGAGCAACTTGTCACTAGAATGTGCAGATCAGTATCGCGAAGAGTTTGCACGAGCAGGGAGATGATATCAACCAGCCCGCTTTCAGATCTGTCTTCATCAAAGGATTCGAGTGTGGATTAATTGAGGGATTCTGGCGTGCATCAAGGGCATCAACAACACCAAGGGCGGACACCTGGACAGTCTGGACAGAGCTTCCGCAGAGGTTGGAGAAACGTTTCCATCTGGTCGCGAAGAGACTAGTCGGGGTCTAAAAGGGTATGATAGCTCTCTTCACGTCCGTCCAGGAATTTACATAATGTCCAGCTGGTGGGAAAACATCACAAAGAAATAACCAGTCGTGCGGCGTTTCGTGTGCTTGCGCGAGAAAAGGAATATTCCACAAGTTGCGTGTCTATTTTCGTCTCCTCAGTCATTTTCAGACTTTTCATCCTTTCAGCTGCAGTGAACGCAACAGCAGATTTTTCGACGCCCGCGGTGCCATGCAGCCGAAATTATAGGAGTAATGATACCCACGACTTACGGGGACGCTGATACACGGATCAAAGACTAAACTGTAACTTGAATATTTGTAGGGACGCGTACTTGGGTTGTGAAACGACGTTATAACGTGGGAAGTCGATCAAAAAGTCTGCCCAGGCCCCAAAGGTCACCTAGCGAGTGGATTGATAGACGTTAGTTCTAGCGCTGTGGAAAGCTCGGCGGATGAAGTGGTGGAATGCAGTTGAAGGACGACTGGGCGCCTCGTTGCAGGCGACCGCACTGCAGTGTGGCCCTTGTCCATTATAGCCAGAAATTAGTGCTCCATGATCGATTGATCGCCGACCAGGAAAATCAAGAGTATGTTTCGTGAATCGTGATAGTTCGAACTCCGAGTCTGCGCCGTGCGGCACGAACTAGTCACCTTGATGTTGAACATTGGACATCAATAAGAAAGGATTATCAGGATCTCAGCCACGCACTTGTCGCTTCGAAGTTCTCCCTAATTGTTATTCTTTCAAAGTCAGGCCCATGGTTTCCTGCTAGACATGATGTCTTCTGCAAATGGTCTGCGACAACCCAAAGAAACGAACAAAGGGAAAAACGGTTTCGCGAGAGACATATCCCTCTCCATTCTGCTAACCCAGATGACTTGGCCATTAGCAGGCACCACTTTGCTCAGTACGTCCTTGCGTCCAAGGGGTCGTATATTGGTCCTTCGTAAGTTTTTTCTTACTTCGTGTATCCCGGTTTAGGTTGCTGAGATTCTGTAGGTTGAAAGAACTCAAATCCACTCCGAACGCAGCTCCGGTAGAAACGTTAGCAATTGTTGACGACAAGATAAAGGAGCTGAAGAGGCAGCATCAAGAAGATATCGAGCTTCTTACTGCATTCCAGGCTGCAGAATACCGCCAAGAAGTCCTTAACAGGTATAATTGCATTGATGATTCAATGATGGGAGTAGATACGGAGGACCTGATCCAGGTCGATTATCTCGCTGCCCTTAATGTACGCCTTCCTTTGTTTGCAACTTTGGACGAGTCCGACAATATTCTAAAGGAGCTGTACAACGATGCACGGCCTATGAAACGCTTCCAGCACGATATGGATGACGCGTTGTCTCAGATCCGCTACAACTACCTCAAATCCCTCCTCCCGCTCCTCACTCAGCGCCGCACGTTGAAATCGCGAGAAACCCACATTCGGAGACAGCGCGATGCGCAGTTCCCGCAGAGTATCGAAGAGTATCACAATATCCCGGAACGCGACATTCAGCTGCGAATCGCGCGGTTCCTCTTGCGTTCGAGTTCTGAGCAGGAGAAGATGATGGGTGATTATGGATGGGTGTGGAGAGCGGTAAATCCGCTGGTCTCAGCGTTCAAGGCGAATGTAAGCTATATTACAAAGTGCAAGAGCCCTAATGCTGATGTTAATTTGTAGGAAGGGTTCAAGAAACGAGATATTGGAGTCAGTCAAAGATGCACAGGCTTCGGATCCTCGGCGTCGGCCAACAGCGACCCCTGGATGGTAGCTATAACTTGCATACCTTCGCACTATCTTCGTATCATGATCGAGATGAGACTGCTCTACGTTGGAGTAGGGGTCCCTAGGGGTGTAGGCAGCAGCGGCGTTTGGCGGTGTTTAGAGTAGAGTTTGCCGGCAGAGTCAGAAGCCGCGTTTGCGTAGGAGAGCAATCCATTCCTTCCCGAGCGCAGCATCTAGTGTGAGAGCAGGCCGAGCTCACTCCAATGTCTATGTGTCTGATTCATTCAATCGAAGCAGTCCTCTCGCTCAGACTGGTGTAGTTCGAGACACGGGCGCTACGTGCCAATGAAGATAGATCAATATGGGTGACAGTTTGTTTATCCTGACTCGGATGCGACAAAGGGTTTTCGCATGTGTGCTCCGCAGTAGTCCAATGGATGTTACGATATTTCAATTCTCATTGACAATGGCCCACCCGAACTTGAAGATGCCCCGTGTTTGAAATTTCTCATCACAACGTGAGGCAGGTTGAATATTTCATATCATCGATGAGGCTAAGATATCGTTGGTGTGAGAGAGCACAAGCCAGTGCATGGCCATCACGACATCTTTGATATCGTGATGGATATCAAGGGGTTCTGTTTGCAGGGTTTCGCCCTCTGTATTCGTGCAATAAAACAGGAGTAGACATAAACTGCAATGAGTTTTTCTCTTCACTGTTCACGGATCAATAAATAAGCATAATCCCGCGAGATGCACGTTCACGAAAGAGAGCGGAGCGTCGCTAATTTTCGCGCCTCCCGTTGCGGAAGAATCATTTTGGAAAATAAGATGTTGGGACATTCGATTTTTCGACAGTTGGACAAAATGATTAATGGACGCTTGATGGACGATAAAGTGACAAGTGTCCGAGTCCTCAGTCGAACATGTTTGTACATGTTGAAAAGCGAGGCTGTTGCCAAATGCGGAAACTCCATCTAATCAGATTTACCCTATAGACGATCAAAGGAAGATAGTAATTCCTTCGTATTACAGTAAGGCTAGCCCTGTTTTCCCCCGGGCCTGGTAGGGAGAGTTTGTGTTTTACGACATTGCATGTGTGGAATTTCTCACTGATCAATACGGCAGATTAGTATTAACCCAACGCCGCCACTGTTGGGCATGATTGACCGGGTAGTGAATTCATGCCCAGTCCACTACCCGTGTATCTGTATTTCCTCTGCATTTCAATTATGGTGGGTAAATGCAGTTCACTCACATCAAACCCTGGTACTTCCACGACAGCTCTGTGAAAGCAAAAACTAGTGCCTAAGAACATTATAACCGTAGACACACGTTTCCAGAAATGATGACCTGCTTGGGATATCCTCCAGCGCTTCAGCCGCTAAGTGACTCGGGTCAATTAACGCTTACCTTCAACTATGTTGCCAAACGCGCTTAATAATTGTGATGTCAGGATGCGGACCTCGGAGTCCTTCGGACCAGGAACTGGTTCGACCAAAGTATCATGATTACGATTAGTGGGAATGCTGTGCAGATACAGTTTCAGCCTGGGTATTTTGTCCGATCATTTCTCGCCCTAGCCTCAGGCTATCTGAGCCGTGAAGATCATTGCCAGTGTCGAAGAGTGTACCCGTCCCCCCTGAGGGGTAGTAATAATATAATCTATACTCCTGGATGTCCTGGCGACAGACGATGGTTGACGACATTACTGATGAGCCGCTAGTTAGCGTCTTCCCATACAAAGCGGTGCTGCTTACGTAAATTTAGATGCAGCGCCACGATGGCAGTACTTACTGCTGTGTTGGTTACATTTCATGAACACCGATTATGATTCGTCCAACTTTGATTGCGCGGGTGCGATCAGTTTGACGTGTCCTGATCGTTTATTCACAGCTCGCGTAAGGATGACCGGGATCAATCGATCTTCATCTAGGATAAAAGCGTAACGGACTGACATCCTCCGCACTCAAAACTTGTTCCTGTTGTATGTCCTGTGCTATATTGACCTTTAAGCTGTAGCTCCCGAGTCTCACTCTCCTTGTTATTTACTAGCTGGCCTTGTATCCTTCTCAGCTGCCTTGTTTTCTCTAACCATTATCTAACTCCATTTGTCGATCGACATGCATCAGTATTATCCGACTTCTCCTGCAGGATTAGGAGCTTATGCTACACCTACGCGGCAGGGCTCATATGGAAGTAACTACAGTGCTGTAAGTGCGGTATCATGGTGTCATGTCTCCCATCGTCAATACCAATCCCCCACCCACAGTACAGTGCATCGGCCCCCAGTCCCCAATACAGCGCCTCGGTCCCCAATTCCGTACACACGCTCATCGCAGCAATGAAAACCCTCCAATCCACGCTCAATCTATGGTCCACCTCACGAGCATCCCCTGACGCAGTCAGCGACGCCTACATGCAATTTGGAGTCGGATTTAACGCCGTCGTATGGGCGTTTGAAGGATCAGAGGTTGACACTTCGTGCGTCTTCCCCCCCTTCTGTCATCAATGAGGCTATACCTAAAGAAAACAGAGATTCTGCCATCAAATTCCCGCGCGATTACGTGCTGTGCTTGAGACGTGTCTAGGCGAAGACCCCTTCCCCTGCTGCACTGGAAATGTATCAACCACAAATCCGACAGCAGCTATACGAACTACTGCAGGGCCTCAAAGCAAAGCAGGGTGCGTGGCGCAGCGCTGTGGCTGCGGGAATTTAGATTAACCTGCGTGCAGGCTATGCAGGGTGGCAATGATGATGAGAATAATGTCCAAATTATGCAGTCCATTCCCGATGATGATCTGCGATCTTGATGGTAACGTATCTTCTTTATATAAGTATTGATTGCGACCTTTGGTTTGGTTATTTTGCTGATTACCAGCAGTTAATGTATTGCCTATATATTCAGTACAAGAAGCGCAGAATTTACATAGTACTTTGCAATCGACTTGCAATGAATCGCACTGCTGTACAATATTGTACAACTTTCTCACATTCTTCGTGCTTTACTTTGGATATCAAGCATCTGGAAGTTCTGCCACACACTCGATCTCAACGCTTGCGCCCAGCGGAAGAGAAGCTACACCAACGCAAGTCCTCGCAGGCATCGCGTTTTCCTCGAAGAACTATTGTTGACAAGGCCAATTGATCGAATTGAAAGATCTGTTGAGAAATAGAGACGTACCGTCATGTACGTGGTGTTCATATCAGAAAAATCCCTCGTCAGATTTGTGAGATAGACGTTCGCTTTCACAACGTGTTGTAGTCCCGATCCTGCAGCCTTAAGAACCTTGCCCATATTTTCAAGGGCAGCAAACTGTACATCGTGTGACCAATTAGCTCACGAGAGATAGGAAATATAGTCTCACTGTTTGCCCCTGCACTCCACCCTCAACGATCGTGAAAATCGTTCGTACATCCAATGTTGCCCGAGAACATATACAAATCCTTTAGATATGATGGCCTGAGCTACAAACTTATCGTCATTATCCATTCACTCCCGATAACGCCGAAACTCACAGAACGTAGTGAGGGGAGGGACGGCGTTATAAGTGAGCACAACCTCTTTGGTCATCGTAGGATACTATGCTGAGTTGGGGGCTAAGGGATTGGTTTTAATAGAGGAGATAAGAAGCATTCAGCTTTTGGTTGCCCAACCGGCATGAAAAGGGTACCGAATACGCTGCTATCACTGATCTGCTGACAGCTTCCAAAAGATCGGAACTGTCAAGCTCCTTCGAGCTCGGGAAGTTCCTTACGGAAGGATAGGCCTGCGAGGCTGTGCAACGGCTTGTGAACTTCCGGCGCGGCCGAGTTTTACCCCTGCGGCATGCCTGTGTGCATGTGCATACTAGATATGTGCGGCGGAATGAACATGCAGCGGGTCTGAGGGCCTGAGACTTTGACGGGACTATAGCTAGTAGTATTAAGGTGGGTCGACAATGTAATTACACGCTCGATGCATATATTTGGTACAAAGAACGCACTGAACCCACAAGTCAAAAGCAGGAAGTAAATTATATGTAGATCAACGTAGGAACGACTATAAGCCTCTATCAGCTGGCGCCAGGAAATGAGAAATACATGCACACCCGGAGCATGCTAGTCCCTACTAGGCAGGCCAACCAAAAGGATCCGGATGGAAAGTCGTTCCGCGGAGTATGCTATCTATAGTCAAAAACACCTTCCCTTCCTTCTAGTAAGTTTGTTGTCACTGGCCGATGTTGTATCGTGTTGGGTGTCATCGCACTGTTCACTAATCTCCGGTAGCTGGAGCCTAAACTTATAAACGGAAGACGAAGACTGTTGTTCTGTTTATATTATGAATCGAAACAGTCGACATTTCATAGAGGCATGAAGCAGGCCAGTATTAGCGCTCATATCGCGTATGATGCATTGATGGATTGGGGGAGTAACTGTATTCGTCATGGTGCATTCCACTGGTGTAGCGTGAAATTGGCTGAGCCGACGTCATGATTGCAGAACGTCTTTGTGCCACGCTGAGCGTTGAAATTTGAAAGTCCGAATACAGAGTTGGGAAGGACCCGGAAGGTTAACTCCTAGACTTGGCCAGAGGTAAAAGAGACGAAATGTGGCCATCAGTGGCTGTGACCATAGTCCAAACGCCATGCTTGTCCTTCACTACGTCGTGCTAGTGACGATGATATAGACAAGGGCGGCATTTGTCAATCACCGTCGAGCACCAAGGCAGTCCTGAACGGTCATTACTAGAGCACGCAGCTGCGGATGCAGGGATCTCGAGAGGTAGGAGCGTAACTGCAACGTTTACAACAGGTATATTCGTTTTTGGCACCGCAGGGGGCAGTGAACACCATCAAGGCTGTAACCATGCGGGAAAAGGAAGTGACAGAAGGCGAAACTATAATTCGCCAAAATGGTCAGACGCTGATCACGATTCACCGGGGAAGGTGGATGCTTCTTATTAGTAGAACACCATATTGGCCTACCTGTAATTACATCGGGCTGCCCCGCCTGCAAAATGTGAATCAAGGGAATTCTAGATTTGGCCGAAAGCTTACGTGCGAAACGCTGAAGCCGCAGAACGCTGAAATCAATTGTCCTCCCTAGAAACAACCCCACGAGGCTCATTGAATTCAGTTGTGCAGGAACACGATGAACGTATGGTGCAAAAGGTCGATAGCACGGCATCAAAGCTGCTCCCATAGAACAGGCATCGCTGGACAACGACTTGTGTCAGTGCAGTGAGCTAAATGCATGATGTGCATCTCAGCTTCGTGAAACGGTGTGATTACTTGAAGGGGGGAATCAACGTCAATGTTGTCATGGCAGGTCATCGGAGTTGTTCGGGCAAATTCACTTCGATACGATTGTTTGTCGGTGATTGTATGGCCGAGTTGCGGCAGCACAAGAGTCGGACGGATGACCGTCCAGTTACTTACTCGCTGCTGCTTTCTCGGGCTCATCCAATTCGCTCGAAAAGACCTCTCCAAGAATCGGCAGCGTTAACGTTCCTCATTAGGCTTCCCAGCCCATCTTCAACATACATTCAACTTGCGCGCCCTTTCGCAACCTTTGGAGTGCTGCAAGCAATCGGAGGGGGCAATCGCCAGTTGCCTATCAACTACTTAAACTTTTGCGCAATGTATGGAATCAAGAGCGTCTTGATGGAGTGTACTGGGAATTTTGCTTGCTAGGATTTCACATCTCAAGCTTAGAGGCCAAGCTGTTACTGGTTGAGCTTCCACTCGTCAAATCTGCATTACAGGTCCGAATAACAATTGTACGAGGTGGTGGCTGACACAGGTTATCCATAGTGACTCCGATATCCAAGTGGCTATGACGCTCCAGCTCCGTTAGCAAGTGGAATTATGCCAGCACAGCAGGAATCGAGAGTACGTATCTTTGCCATTCCAAAGGAGAAACAGCCCCGCAAGGCATGTGCAAGCGTTCTTCGAAGTCAGAACAAACACCGTTATCACACTCAAAGTTTGCATGTCAGCTACTAGCACAAATGTCTCGTTGACATCAAAAGCATGGGAATACGTCTGCAGCCTCGTTCGACACAATGAAGTATTATCTGATGAATCGTGTATCGTCAACAAGTTATTTTCGCAAGGATACTAATATCTATAGGATAGACACTCGGGCGCCACATCCCTGCCCCAACCTTTCCGATTTGATCCCGATGTTATAAGACGCGATTGTCTGTTATTCTCATCCAAGAAATTGCTTATCAACCTCTACATATGAATTCCAATCGTCTTCCTGTACTAGTCGTAAGTGACCTGCTTATGGTAGAAGATCGCAACTCCGTTGAATTTTTAGGTAGGAGCTGGGCCAGCAGGTCCGGTGGCAGCGTTGACACTCCTCCAGAACGGTATCCTCATCGATAAAGACTCCAGCCCTCGCATCGGACAGCGAGGTGTTGGAATATTGGTTTGCCGTATATCAAGTTGTCATAGCACCATTAGTCTCGTTGGATCTAGCCACGCTCCCTAAACTTCTTCAACTTCTTGAGTGTTCCAGAAGTCGACGATCTGGGGAAAACTGGGCCCATGGCCCGTTACTACATGCCAGGGACATTCGTGGTGGCCCCGCATATAGAGCCTACGTTTACGATACCATTCGTATGCAGGAATGTCGGTTTATCAAGCAGCCATGCTGAAGTCTGGTTCATTCTATTTTCTAGCGGTCCAAGGTTGTCGGTTAACAGCTCCTCGGTGTAATTCTAGCACGCCGCCTAGAAAAGCTCCCTTGTTCTGTCGAGATGGTCCAACGAAGCCCGCTCATTTTTATGCTCGGTATTAACTACCGGTTCAGCAGCATCGTACTCGACGAATTTGCGACACCTGTTGAGGGGAGACCTATCAACGCCTATTGGGTGCCCGGCGAGGGCCATCTGGATGCCAGGGACTGGGCGCTTGAAGCACCCAATATGCTGCAGGTGGGGCGCGTAGAGCCTGACATGAAGACGCTTTTTGGTCTGTACACACTGTGCTTGTATTCGCTCCGAGTCATGGCGACGCTGCCCTGATCTTGGGCGCACTGGAGACTCACGACAAAGTATCGTGCGATTGGCAGTCGTTCTGCCTTCTCCACACCAACGACGTGTATTGCATTCCCTGCTGACCTCGTTCTTGTTGATCAGGATGGCCATGCTTTCGGCTTCCCTCGTGGACTCGGGCCACGAAGGCGTTTATGATACGGCCGGCCGGAGTGATTGGAGTGATCGTACATGGTGCAGAAAGCGTGAAGATATATTTCTCGAGATTTCTTTTGAACGTGTAGTGGTCTGTTCTTTTACATGACTTTTATTACCTTAAACCTCTGAACCCGTGAGGATGGGGTGGTACTGATGTAGGAAACGAGCTCAGCATCTGAATTGATGAGTTCCCGGAGGTAGAAAGTTCATGTCCGATACAATAGAAGCTGAGTGCTGGGCGAATGACATAAATCCAGCATTACTAGTACTGTAACTGGTCGCTTGATCTTTTTGATTCTTTACCAAGTTTGGATTCACGAGTATAGATTCAGAACGGTAGGGAAGTGAAGAGCCTAGCTCAGCGAGTGCAGCGTGAAACAACGAACTACGATAGACACGCAATAGATGGTGTAGTAAATGAATTTGGTAGTAAGTGATAAAACACAACAGAATGCATAAGACGCACTTATCGAGCCAGGTGTTCTGGAAGTAGCTGAAAACAATACCAGACGTCTCAAGACTGAGGTATACCGTATGACGACACCTACTAAGTGTCAAGGCTGCGCGTTATTACATAAGAGGTTTTTCTTGCTAATTTGTGCAATAAGTATGGTCAGAGGCTGTCATAAGAATTACATCTTTGAACGCGGCTGGGTGTTGCCAGACCTTCAGAAGATCTCATGCATGCAGCGTAGGGGTTAAATTTCCACTTCAAGTCTGCTTTCACACGAAACATCGCTATTCCCACGCTCCCAGCCTCCCCTACTGAATCAACCCCGGCACGCCCACCGGTATCACTACTAGTATCCAAATCCTCAAGAAAACGTCAAGATGGTGAGTCTCGCTGCCCATTCGACGTCCGATATATCTTGGTACATGCATGCAAGCTTCCTGGGTGAAAAACGGGATGGAACTGAGTAGTTGATGGGTGGATGGAGATAATCTGTGTTGGATGTCATAGTGTTCAACGGGAGTGGTGGACGTTATTTTGCGTGTCTGCCTGGTAAACCAACTGTTTCATATTCGCTGACACTATTTTGATTCTCTACAGACGAAAGGTTCGTTTGGTTTCGATTCGATCGTTGGGGTTTGGATTTGACGGATGGCTTTTTCGATGTTGTTGGATCTTCTTTCTGTTGATCAGGTACTTCGTCCTTCGGGTGCGTAGTGTTTTCCCTTCGATCCGGAGTATCTCGCTCATGCGGTTGGATTTAACTCGTGCAGTAAGAGACACACCAAGTCCCACACGCTCTGCCGGCGCTGTGGTCGTCGTGCGTTCCACAGGCAACACAAGAGTGCGTTTCTACACCTCTTTGCGAGGCGGTATCTAACCTTGCATTCGCTCGTCCCTGTTCTGTCACCATGCCCTCCATCCCAATCTACGCCGAACAACCCGTTATTGTCCTAAACCAGCCTGTGCCCAGTGCGGCTACCCCGCAGCAAAGCTGCGTTCGTATGAGTGGGGCCAAAAAGCCAAGCGCAGAAAGACCACCGGTACTGGGCGCATGCGTACGCTCAAGGACGTATCGAGGAGATTCAAGAACGGATTCAGGTGCGTTCTATTCCTATGCTCACCCCAATAATCATCTTAATCGTATGGACTTTGTACAGAGAAAACACCGTCGCAAAGAAGCGTGTCAGGCCAACCGCGGAGGCATGAGCGTGAGCGGAAACGCGATACCGCGCTTGCATGTTGTTTTACATACTTGAGAATTTTTAGCCTATGCTGCTCGCATCATTTTCTACGCACGCACAGAATACATGATTCATGCCATGCTTCCTTGCCGATTCTGAGTGAAGCTTTGAACGTCATCTGATTAGTCTCTTCTTTCTGATTATACTACTCCGATCATGGATGAGCCTTGTTACTTGGTGTTTCGACGCATGTGTGTTTCTTGATTGGCATCTGCGAGTGTTTAGGACCAAGCAACTTGAATCTCTAACTTCGCGGACAGGGTATATGCTGCTGCACTGGTTCCCTGATGTTGACCGCCCTACCTTAGCCTACCCCACATTATTGATTTGCTGAGACATCCTACGCGCAACTACACATCAATAAAAAATCTATTACAATCCATCCAACCTGAAGGAGTCCATAATAAATTCCTGATACATTATGATATGTAGTCCCCGTTCAAGTTGATGGATGTCGTCGGTCAACACATGCACAATGAACGAACGTAAATGACCGAAATAAAGAAAAAAAGGAAATACCGATAAATACTTGGCGCTCTCGCTGGGTCGCATCACTATCGCACCACTATTGCCACAACACGACCCCGGGGTCTTCCACTTCCTCCTCCCATCCTCCAACCCCAACCTAACCGTATCCACATCACTCTCATCCCTCACATGAAACGTCCTCACCTCCACAGCCTCTTCATACTCCCACTTCCTCACCACACGCAAAGCGATATACTCAAATGCGTCGCTTACACCCGTTCCGGTCTTTGCGGATGTGAAGAAGAGCTTTGGGCCTGTGTCTGGGGGTCTGGGAGGGTGGAGGGTAGGGAGATGTCCGGGTCTGGTTGGAGTGTGGTGGGACGTTGGCCCCGCGTGAATAGACTCGGCGTGATAGTAACCGCAGACGAAGAGGTTGTCGTCGTCGTAGTATAGTAGTTGATGTACTAGACAAACTCGTCATTCTCCTCACTCGTGCTGGTGATCCCGGTTGGGACCCAGGAAGCGGAGAGGACCGTGCACTTGTATATATATCAGGAGGGAGGAAGAGGGGGTGTGGAAAGAGGTGAGGCCGGAGCGGAAGGTTCCGTATAGTGATGTGCTGGCGTGGGGTGTACTTGAACGGGAACGTGATTTTGAGAGTTTGCGGTGGTTTTGGATGTCTATTCGGGCGGAGGGAGTGAGGAAGGATGATGGATCGGTGTGCGACCCGAGTTCGAGCTCATGCTCGGGAATGGCATCCTCGTCTCCTGAAATAGCGTCTACCACGATTTCTCCCTCCACACACTCTGCAACCTGTGATTCAGGTTCAGGTTCCGAAAGAGGCACAAGCTCTTGCACGAATTTCTGCGCTTCCTCAGCAGTGACGCCCATCCCAGGCTGCAACAGATCCATTTTATTCCCAACGACCACACAACAAAAGTTATCAACCTCTTCATCGCTAACCGGTGCTCGGTGCTTGAACTCCTCCCACCATTTCGTGAGCGCGTGCATAGTCTCGGGTGCGCTGACGTCGAACATGAGCAGGACGGCGTCTGCGCCGCGGAAGAACGCAGAGGAGAGGGAGGAGAAGCGTTCTTGGCCTGCGGTATCCTATCGTTGCGTGAGCGAATGGAAGGTATGAAGGCAGCTCGAGGGAGACCTACCCATATCTGAAGAGAGATGACCTCGGTTGGCGTTTTTGGGTCAGGAAGGGATTTGGTTATGAAGTCTGCACCGATTGTTGCACGGTAGCCGGTGGAAAAACGACCTGATATGTACTGCGGTAG